TTCATCTTTTAAAATTGTTGTCTATTAGTCATTTTTCTAAAAATATATTAGTAACAAATGATCAACTCTATTAATTAGCTTTTATGCTATTCTAGAATTAATGTGGTGAATCGACAATTGAAAGTTAAATTGTGAAAAATTAATGCTTCCGATTAAATGCGAAAAACAACATTAATAAAAGAAGCGCAAACAAATATTTTTAAAGTTAATTTCTTTGCAAATTATCAAAGTAATTAAATAATAATCTCTTTTTAAGTTTAAGTCTATGATATACAAAGGAGTCAAATTAAAAAAAAAAAAAAGCTATTTCTTATAATTCCTTTTAAAAATAAGAAATTATAAGATTGAATTGTATGTTACGGAGTGGAAGGCAAGGAAAAAATTAGCTTGCAGTCCATAATAACAATAATATACTTTTTTATATTATAATAAAGATATGGAGTTGTTAAATTTCAAGTTGATTTGTAAAAAAGAAGAAGAAAGAAAAGAAAAGAAAAGAAATAACTATAAAATTAGTTTATAAATTTTTTATTTTTTATTTAAATTAATATCCCTGATAAATTAACCCAAAATATGATTTGTCAAGAATATTTAAATTAGAAGGTATTGTTGATTCTTCTTTTTTTTATGGAGATCCACTTAAATAACACTTTTCTTTGGTGATAATTATAAAAAACAAAAAATATGAAAATTAAAATATTGTAATGTTTAAAATACTAAAGTTTCATTTAAGAATATTTTTTCTTACTTTAATTTTTAATTTTTATATTTTTTATTATTTTAAAAATATATAAAATATTAATTAAAATAATTATTAAATATATTTTATATAGTTTTAAGGTATTAAGTGATTAAAAAATCTACAATAAGGTAATGTTATCAAATTAAACTTAACTATAAAATTATATAAATATCTTTATAAATCTTCACAGGCTATATTTAAATTTTTTTATTATCATTCTTAGGATTTTAGTTATTGTTCTTAAAATTTCTAATTATTAAGAAATTTTAATTTTTCATAAAAATATAATAAACATGAATAATAATATATAAATAATTTATTTATATAATTTTTTTTTACAATTTTTATATATTATTAAATAAATAAATATTTACTCCTATAATATTAGATATTTCAACAGAGAAAAATAAGTAAAAAGATTATATAATAAAAATGGTCTCCCAATCATTAGAAAAAAAAAATTGTCTTCTTTATTTTCATGGTACCCAGACCAAAAATAAATAAATAAATAAATATTAAAAAATTCATATTTTATTGATCACTTAATATTAAAACTATAATTTTAGTTTTAAAAAAATTTTAATTATTATTAATTAAATAGTATAAAAATAATAATATTAATAGTTTAAATCCTTTTATTTATTTAAGTTAAACTATGAAATCATTGGACAATTAGTTTCAAATATTTATAACAAATACTGAAAATATTATAGTTACAAAGTCATATGGTATTGATATCATTATATAATTAATTTTTTTATTTAAAAATTTACTCATAATATTATATACATTTACTTATTTAATATCACGTCATATTTTATTAAATGCCACTTAAAATTATAAGTTTATAATTCAATGTAGCATTGTGACTATAATATTACCATAACAAACACCTTATAATACTT